GGCACCCTTAACCTTGGTTGCATTATTCTTGGAGATATCTAGGAGAAGGCTTGTTGCTGGGTCATGTGGTAATACTGTTTACAATTTTGGGGAAACACTGAAATATTTCCCAGGATGTCTGTAACTGCTTAATCCTCCTAGTAGTGTGCTAGGATTTGTCCCTTACCCCGTCCTTTGTAGCTTTTTGTGTGGACATATGTATTAGCTGTCTTTCTCATCCCTGTGCCTTCACTACCTCACAGAAACAACTTAAGGGAGGAAAGATTTATAGTTTTAAGGAGCCTGCCTATCATATCATGGTGGGACGGTGAGGTGGAACACAGGCGTTCACAGCATGGTGGGCCACGAAGCAGGGGAAGGGGAGTGCCGCGGCTCTGGCCGCCTTTCCTTTCCCTTCATTCCATTTACAACTCTAGGTCATGGGATGGAGCCATTCGCATCTGGGATGCGTCTTTCCCACTCAGTTAATCCTCTCTGGAGCTCGCAGGACACTGCCCACAGGTGTGCCTCATTCTCCTATGTGATTCCAAATCCGGCCAAGTCGACAATGAAGATTGAGTATCACAATATATGTCTTCATTTTTATCAGGTACATGCCCAAGGGTGGAGTTGCTGGGTGACATGGTAACTCTGAAAGTTTGAGGGACTGCTAGACTGTGTTCCAAAGAAGCTGCCCATTTTGCTGTCTCAGTGGTAGCTTATGAAGATTTTGATTTCTCCACATCTTTAACAACATTTATTATCATCTGGCCTTTTGATTCTTGCCATCCTAGTGAATGTGAAACAGCCTCTCACTGTGGCATCGATGTGCACTGGGCGGATAACTACTGTGTCAAGTGCTTGTCTTTTCAGATGCTCATTAGCCATTTATATCTATTTCCTTGAAGAAATGTCTGTTTCCTTGGAATTTGAATTCTTGTCCGTTTTAAAATTGTATTACTTGTCTCTTTTTGAATTTAAGAGTTCTTTATATAGTATGGACACAAGTTCCCAGTCAAATAAGTGACTTGTAAACACTCTCATTCTGTGGGTTTTCACTTTGTTTATGTGTGTGTGCATGTATATGTGCATATATATGCACATGTATGTGCAGGTTGGAGGACAACCTCAGGTGTCATTTTTCAGGAGTCGTTCACCTTGTTTTGTCAGATATAGTTTCTCACTGGCTTGGAGCTCACCAAGTAGACCAAGCTGCTGGGCAGTGAACCCCAGGGATCCGCCTGTTTCTGCATCCCCAGCACTAGAATCACAGGTATGTGTCACCATGCCTGGCTTTGTATGTCTGTGGGAGCACAAGTGTGTACTGTTTGTACATGTTCATGTGTGTGCACATGTGTGTGCAGGTGCATGTGGAGGTCAGAGGTTAATCCGGTGTCCTCTATCACTCTCCACCTTCCTTTTTCCTTTTTAAAAAAGTATTTTATTTATTATTTTTTATTTTATGTGTATGAGTGTATTGCCTGTATGTGTATAAGTGTACCTATGTCATGCAATGTCAGCGGAGGTCAAAAGAGTGTCAAATTCCCCTGGAGCTGGAGTTACAGATGATTATTAGCCACCATGTGGGTGGCTGAGAATCGAACCTGGGTCCTCTGCAAGAGCAGCCAGTGCTCTTAACCACTGAGCCATCCCTCCAGCCCCTCCACCTTACTTCGTGAGACTGTCTCTCTTCACTGAACCTGGGGCTCACAGATTCAGCTAACTGGCTGACCACAGAGCTCCAGGGATCTACTTCTGTCTGCCGCACCAGTGATAGGTGACAGACAGACAGGCACTTCAGCACTTTGGTTTCACATGGGTACTGAGGATCTGAACTCAGGTCCTCATGCTTGTGTGGCAAACACTTTACTTATCAAGCCATCTCCCCTGTCCCCATGGCTTTTAAAAAATGCGGGTTCTGGGGATTGGACTCAGCGCCTTATACTTAGAAGGCAAAACGTTTGCTGACTAGCTAAATTCTGAGTACCTCTTCTCACTTTCCTAATGCTATACTTTGAAACATAAAAGTCTTTAAATTTGATGTCAAATGATCTAATTTTCTTTTGCTCCTTATACTTTTTGTGTGATATTCAAGAATCCTTTGCCAATTCAAAGTCATGAAAGGACTGTTTTTCTTTTTGAGACAAGGTCTTCCTACAACCCCAGGTGGTCTGGAGCTCTCTGTGTAGACCAGGCTGGCCTCAGTATTATAGAGATCTGCCTGCCTCTGCCTCTCAAGTACTAGAATGAAAGGAGTGTACCACCACACCTGGCTTCAAAGTCATGAAAGCTGACACATATTTTTAATAGGCTTCATTGGTTTTAGTTCTACCGTTTATGTATTTGCTCTGCTTGGTGGTAGGTAAGGATCTAACTTCACTTATTTGCATCATGTGATAAAATGTCTATTCTTTTTCCATTGGTTTGTTTTGCTGCTTCTATAAAAAATTAATTGGCTATAAATGTGAGGGCTTATTTCTGGATTTCGAATTCTCTTTCATTGATCTATAAATCTACCCTCCTGCCTCTAGCATATTTTCTCGTACCACAACTATGTAGAAATTTCGATGTTAGGAAATGTGACTTCTCCAATTTTGGTTTTTTATTTTCATGACTGAGTTGTTGAGTTGTAGAAACAGTTTGTCAGTTTTGTTTTTTAAAGCCAGCTGGGATTTTAATCGTGATTGCTTTGAATCTTTACATCATTTGGGGAAGTACTGCCATTTTAACAAAATTAAGTCCTCTGATTCATGAGCAGGAGAGCTCTTGACTTGTATTTAGGTCTTTAGTTATTTTCAGCAATGTTTTAGAGTCTTGTTGTCTAAGTCTTAAGACTGCTCATGATAAACTTCTTTAAAAATATTCTTTTTTGCTGGGCGTGGTGGCGCACGCCTTTAATCCCAGCACTCGGGAGGCAGAGGCAGGTGGATCTCTGTGAGTTCAAGGCCAGCCTGGTCTACATAGTGAGTTCCAGGACAGCTGGGGCTACAGGGAGACCCTGTCTCAAAAAGACCAAAAAAAAAATTCTTTTTTTTTTGGTGTTATTGTAAGTTGATTTCAAAAATTTATTTACAGATTGTTGTTATACTATATAACTGACATAACAACTGATTTTTTAAACATTTGAGTTTGTTCTTATAATCTTAGCAGTTATTAAGTCTTTATAAAATGATTAGATTTTGGTAAATTCATTGGGATTTTCTATGTAAAAGGCTATGGCATCCATGAATGGTGATTACGGATACCTTTACTTTTATTTTTTTTCCCTAAGTAACCTGTATAGACCCTCCAGGGAAATGTCATTGAACAGAAGTTCCCAAAGTGTGCATTCTGCCGTACTCCTGAGTCTTGAGGGGGACGCGTTCTGTCTTATAAGGCTTCTGCAGATATACTTTATTGGCTTGAGAAGTTCTCTTCAATTACAACTTTTTGAGTATTTTCATTATGGCAAAATGCTAATACTTTGTTGAGTTCTTCAGTTGCATTTTTAAAAAAATATTTTATTTTTATTTTATGTGTATGAGTGTAATGCTTGAATGTAGGTGGGTACACCCATGTCCTGCAATGCCTGTGGAGGTCAGAAAAGAGTGTCAGATTTCCTGGAAGTGGAGTTACAGACAGTTGTTAGCCACCATGTGGGTGCAGGTCCTCTGCAAGAACGGCCAGTGCTCTTACCATTGAGCCATCTCCCCAGCCCTGTAGTTGTATTCTTAAGGACTTGCGTATTGTTTTCTTTACTTATGCTGTCTTTGTCTAGTATCTGTACAGTACTGGCACCATACAATGAGTTGGGAAATATTGTCTCCCCTCAATTTTTTTTTTGGAGATTTTTTGCAAAATTTATATGAATTCCTTTAATGTTTGATAGACTTTACCAGTAAAGCTACCTGGGCCTAAGTTTGAAAATTGTGAATTCAATCACTTTGCATGTGCTTGGCTTATTCGGATCATCTATTTCTTTTTTTCAATTAAAAATATTTTTTGGGTGTATCTGAATGTTTTGCCTGCATGTATGTCAGTGCACCAAATGCATGCAATGCCTACTGAAGCCAAGAGAGGGCACTGGATCGTCTGGAACCGGAGATGGTTGTGAGCCACTGTGTGGGTGTTGGGAACTGACTGAACCAGGTTCTCTGAGAGAGCAGCTAATATTGTTAACTGTGGAGCCATTTCTCTAACCCTCTAGATTGCCTATTTCTTAAAAAAATTATTTTGTGTGTGCTCACATATGTACGCCACATCGTGCACGTGGAGGTCAGAGGTCAGCTTCTGGGAAATGGTTCTCATCTTACTGAGGTGAGGTTGCTTTTGTTTCTGCTCTTGTGCTGTGTGTTCCAGGCTGGCTGGCCTGGCACCTTCTGGCGGATTTTCCTGTCTCTATTTCCTTTCTTGCTGTAGGAGTGCTGGCACTATAAATACAAGCCAGCTTTTTATGTTGGCTCCAGGGATTGAATTTAGGTCATCAGGTTTGCATGGTTAGTGCCTTTACCTGCGGATCCATTTCCCTGGCCCTAAATCATCTATTTTTTAATGTCAGTTTTGTAGCTTGTGTGAGTTTCATCGCAGGTGTGTGTACAGTTGTGCACACCTTCCTTTTTACTCATTTTAATTCCTGTAAAGTATTGATTGCTCCTTTCATGACAATTGTAATAATTTGAATCCTCTTCCTTTTCTTGTTCGGCTATCTAGTGACTTGTCAATCTTGTTGTAGATCATGTATCACTTTTACAACTGAAATATTATTAAAAGGCATAAAAAGTGAAGGCAGTCCATGTGCTAACAGGAGAGAAAGCAGTCAGGTGACTCAAGGTCACGCAATACCATTTTTTTCCCAGTGCCACGCGGTTGTTCACAATTTTTTCCTTCACCCCCTTCACCTTCTCTGCCTGAAGGAGCAGGTGAGGTGAAGCTTGGGGACTTACCGGCAGCGATGGTCCATCTGCTGTGGTCAGGGTTCTCTCTGTCATGGACCTGAGACAGAAGGGACTACGCATGGTCACTTGGTCTATGTCATTACTCACCGATACTGCTTTTGCCGTGTTTCCAATTCTTTACGCCTGTGCTGCTTAAGAATGTGAATTTGATCGTCGCGGGCCAGTTTTGCTGTGGAGGAAGGACAAGAATGAGAGCAGCTTAAGGAAGAACAATAATGTCCAGTGTGACACTTTCCTCAGACACCTGGCCAAGCTGAGCACGGTACCTGTATCATCCCATGTTTTCACATACACCACTGTTTTATAGGGAGGAAACAGGTTTGGAGATGCTGATAGCTTTGCTCTTGAACCCTGCTCAATATTGCATGCCTAATTAGTTCTCTCTCTCTCTGTCTCTGTCTCTCTCTCTGTCTCTCTCTGTCTATCTCTGTCTCTGTCTCTGTCTCTCTCTCTTCCCTGTCTCTGTCTCTGTCTCTTGGACCTTGTATGTAGCTCAGGGACTTACAATCCTGCCTCAGCCTCCTCAGTGCTAATTAGTAGATTGTAAACACAGGATTCCAATTCCACATTATTAACCTTTATCTTTACAAAAGACAAATCCATTTTTTCATCATGCACAGGAAAACCTTGGGGGTCCCTGCTCCTCGGTGGTCAGAATATCGGATCCAGAGTCAGAGGCATGAGCTACGCTTGGTTTTCGTTGGGCTCTGTAGGGCTAGAGAGATGATTCTCTGCCTTTCTGTGGCTGTAGTCTCTGGTCTCCTTGGGTGTATGGGGGTCGGGGGGTTCGCTTTCTACTAAGCCCTTTAGCATACTACTTATGTAGGAATCCTGGGGTCTCTAGTCCAGATCTGCCTGCTTACTCCAGCGGATAGGTATTTTGTGGTCTTTGTTGCATATCTTTGTTTTGTTTTTATTTAGTTTTTGAGACAAGGTCTTAGGTGGCTCAGGCTAGCCTAGAACTTGCTATGTTGCCAAGGCATCAAACATTGATATTTTTGCAAAATATACTAAAATTACTAGAAAAATGAAATTCAAAACATTCAAGATTCAACCTTGTTTTTATTTTATTAGGTCTGACAGCCATGGGATTATTCTTTCAAGGTCTGTAAATGTTTCTTAGGCACCTACTCTGTCTCTTTTGGTACCTCACTGCAGACCTAGCCTTTCCAGTTTTCAGAACACACTGGGTGCTCTCTGGCTCACAGCACCTCCAGTCCCAAGCATGGAACTGGGCCCAAAGAAGAAGATTGGGGGAACCACAGCATTCTGGCTCAGAGTGCCAAGCCAGCCAGTGCCCCTGAGGCTGAGGTGAACATAAACTGTGACAATGCCTTTGTCATGGGCTGGGAGGCGCTGCTGTGGGCAGGCGACCTTCTTCTTTGCCGTCTTCCTCAAACCCAGGGCATCTGTTGGCTCTACTCTGGCTCTAGAGAGCTGTGTTTCTCTAGCTTCACTGGTTTGCATAGGTTAGAACACACAGAACTCAACACACTAAGTTGAGCCATGGGAGCAGCTTAGTCTCCTTGGCCAGGACACTCTGCCTAACAATTGATAGAATATTCTAGGCTATGGCAGGTTGACAAACCCAACTGGCTCTGGACTGAGTGCAGCAGTCTACAGGTGGCTCCCAAGGACTGACATGAGACCATGAATGAACTGTTTGTCTACACAGATGTTGTAGGCCCTCTGACCGGGCTGTCCTATCACTTTTATGAACACTGGGGTACAGAGGTGAAATACTAGACTGTAGGAGGTCATGTGTGGTGAGCAGAAGGATCACTTGTGGAGTGGGCCCTGTTCTGGCCACATTGTTCAAAGCACTGGTTGCTATGCTATGGCCACAAATCCTTCGGCATTTCTTCCATTGAGGGATGTCAGTATCCCTTCCCCTTCATCCTGATTGAATGGACACCAGCAGAATACGGTGGAGTTGTACCATGCCTGTTCGAGGCCCAGGCCTGATGTCTGACAGCTTCCATTCTCTGTCTCTTGGAATACTTGTTCTTGGAAGCCAGCCACTATATACTGTTACCCTGAGGTCACCATGCTGTAAGAATCCTTAAAAAATGAGGTGCCATGTAGAGATGGAGTCCAAGGAGCCTAAAGGTGCTGGTCAAAGTGAAGCCTCCAGTCTTGAGCTAATGACACAGACGAACCGACCAACAGACTCTTTCCTAGATTCCAGATCTACAAGATCATTACTAAGATTAGATGACTCTTTAAAGCCAAAATGTTTGGTTACCAGTGATGGATAATAGAATTTGCCAGTCAGCTTATTTGTGCCTCTGAAGATCCTTTCCACCTTGTCCTGTCACTGTCACTGGAGGTGATCAGAACCAATGTACCAACGGGCTTCCCATTAGTCTCAGCCCTGGGGAAGGACCGGGGATGGGAGAGTGTAGAGGGGCCATTTTCTGCCCACTCTCTTCTGCACTGTCTCCCAGGCTGTCCTCATCTGAAGTGAGCTCCTCCATGAAGACTATTTCCAGAACACTCCCCTTCTGGATCATTCCTGTACCCGTCCCTTTCCCCAGCCCATTGGGATTAGCCATGCTGCCGTTCCCCTACACAGAGGTGCCTCCTCTGCACACTTCCACACCTTTCTAAAGTTCCTTTCTCGAGCCCTCGTTGAATCATCCTAATCTGACTGCACCATCTTGCATGTTGCTGTGAAAACTATGAGAATGAGATCATAGGAAGGAAGACTTCGCCACTGAGACCTTGGGTGGGGTGGGCAGGAGGGAGACTCTAACACTTTCCAAGCACTGGGTGAAGAGAAGCCTTCCTTGTTCTACTCACAAGACAATGTGAATGCTCTCAGGTTTTTTTCCTGCCGAGGCTGGGGGAGTGGGGCAAAAATCCTTCCAAACCCAAAAATTCAGTGCAGAAATATCCTTGGAATTTGGTTTCTTAAATCAAGTTCCACATCAAAGAGAGTGGCATGTGGTCTGATGGTCAGAAGACACAGGATGGAGTACTTCTTCTTTTTGTCTCAGTTTTCAGTCCAAAAAGTGTGGTGGTGATTAGTAAGCACTCCTAATCTTGTCTACATCTCCAAACTGTAAGAACAGATAAACGATAGACAGCAAGCGATGCTGTGCTAAGGAGACACGCTAGTTCTTTCCTGAGAAGCAGAGCTGGCCTCCTCACTGCAGAGGCAGCCTGGCATTCACACACTTAGCATTCCATGTCGTGACTAGGAGAATGCTCAAGGGCTATGACTAGAAGTCAAAGTTTGTCAAGGCTTGCTTTGGATCCACGCATAACAAGAGGCCAGTGTGCCAGGGCATCACTCAGGGAGAGCACAGCCTTATCTGACCTCTGACATCTGCTTCTTTCTCTCTTCCTCTATACCAGCCAGCTGATGACCCGAAAAAGAATGACCTCTGAGGGAGCACCAGACTGGTCCTGTACATCCAGAGTCTGGGGAGGCAACAGCGGGAGAATCTCAACTTCAAGGTCAGCCTGAGCTGCAGAATGAGACTAAGACCCTGTCTCAAAACAAACACATAAGCAAGCAAACAGAGAGGTGACTGTGAACTTGAAGCTGGCATTGTGGATGGTAGTCTAACCCTTCCCTTTTCTGACCTGCAGGGGGTGTCCTGTGATCCTGAGCTCTACTGGGATCTCACAGAGCCTGAATCTGGAAAGTGAGGCCATGGCCTGACACCTGTAGAGCTGCCTATTCGCAGGTCTAGTCTATTCCCACAGGTACTTGCTATAGGACCCTCAATACTTGTTGACCAGAAGAAAAGATGTAATCTTCCCTCCTTCCTAGGACAACAGGCAAGGTAAGGCCACAGTTGGGACTATAGAGTTTGTTAGTGCCCAGGAAGATCACACCTCCTGCAAGGGTATAGAGTTATGATTCACCCAAGACAGAATTCTCACTCCAAGAAATATGGTCTCTGAAAAAAGGAGGCCCAGGGGAGGCAAGAGTCTGAGCGGCTTACCACGTCCATCCCGAAGGACAATCTCGCCCTCGCCGGTGATCCATCTGTAGCATGGGAACTCGATGTAATCCCCATGGGGTGTCTTCAGTGTGATATACCTCAGGTACCAGTCATCGTGGAGCCAGTATTTGCGCTTTTCAATTTTGACCAGCTGGATCTCGCCTAGTTCTTCATCTACAGTCACTTCATAGGAATCGACCTGGGCAGGAGAACAGGAGAATTAGACTAACTGATTCTGAATTCTGAAGGGATTGAGAACATGCATCTCCAAACAGGCTGCTCTGGCATACTGAATAACTTGTGATAAAGGGACTGAAAAATGGCAGTTCAAGATCACTCTATCTTTACCCTGTCTGTTTAAACAGGAGATGAATTTCTGATGTGAAAGATCTTCCTCAAAAGGAAAGAAGTTTCTTTTCTTCTGGGCTGGGACATTGAAGCCCAGAGAAATCTGTACAAATAACCCTGTTATGCCAACCTTCAGTTCCACAGTCACTTCCTCTGACTTCTTTAGGCCAGGTCTCTGGCCTTATCACACTCTGTAGCTTATTGGTCTTTGGACATATGCGACAGACTGCAACTTTTGTGTCTTCATTTCCTTTTACGCAATGTACGGCATACATTTCTTGTATTAAGTAAATTTGTTTGGTTTTCTCCTATTGTTTTGGTTTATGCCAATTTAATTCTCAGGCCTGTCTGGTCAGAAGGGATGAGGTAAAATTTTGGTTTTCCCATAGGCTTTTTTTTTTTTTTTTTTTTCAGTTTGTTTGTTTTGCCTTTTTGAGACAAGGTCTCCTGTAGTCCCACCTGGCCTGGATCTTGCTATGTAGACCAGACTGAGTTGATCTCACAGAGATCCACCTGCCTCTGCCTCCCAAGTGCTGGGATTAAAGGCATGCACCACCACACCCCGCCCTCATAATTTTTTTTTTTTGTCTTTTCGAGACAGGGTCTCCCTCTAGCCCCAGCTGTCCTGGAACTCACTATGTAGATCAGGCTGGCCTTGAACTCACAGAGATCTGCCTGCCTCTGCCTCCCGAGTGCTGGGATTAAAGGCGTGCACCACCACACCTGGCTAATTTTTTACAATAATTATATATTTATGGACTATAGCATGGCAGTTCAATACAAGTAGTCAAGAAGCAACGACTCATCTGGAGTGATGAACATTTCTAGAACCTCAGACATTTGGTCATAGAAAAGTTAAAAATCTTCTCTTCCAGCCATGACTATGAGCTATCATCACCAGCTATTGCACGGCAGGAACCCGGGATGTATTTCTCCCTCTAACTTCATTTTGGGGCCTGTTCCCTAACTTCTCCCATACCCTGACCCTTCCTGGCCATTACTGACCACAGTTTTCTTCTCTACTTCTGTCCAATAAGCTTTTCAGCTTCCACACATGAATGGCAAAATAAAGTATTTGCCTTTTTGTGCCTGACCTATTTAAATGACCTCTGGAATCATTCATGGTGAAAAAATAAAGCCCCAATTTCATTCTTTGTGACTGAATAGTGTTCCATTGCATGCACATACATCATATTCTCTTTACTCATTCGAGGTGTCAGTGGGCACCTCAGCAGATTCCATATCTTTAGTCAAGATTCTTAATTAACCTTCTAGTCCATTTTAATAGCCCAGTCCTGTTTTAAGACAAATACTGGACCTAATGCCTCCCCTTAATAAGGTTTTATACTGTGCCTGGGGGTAACAGACATAGACAAACCCTGGGCCCTGCCCTCTTATAGATGGAGTCTAGTGCCAGGGACTGTTTTAAGCCTGCGTGTGGCTCAGGCTACGGGAAGGAGAGATACCTAGGCTCCTGCCACTTCCTGCCAGGCCAAGCTGGTAGAGGTCCTCTTCAGCTGCCCCTATGTTCTGGAAAAGGCAGCCTGACCCTTACATGGAGCATACCTTCACAATGCACCAAGGGCTTGCTGACAGTAACTCTGGCTTCCATAGCCATTGAGAGGCAGTGGAGTGTTCTAGTTCTCTTCTCTAGTGTTGTGATAAAACACTCTAACCAAAATGAACTTTGGGGAAGAAAGGGTTTATTTGGTGTACACTTCCAAAGCACAGTCCATTTTTGAGGGAAGTCAGGGCAGGAACTTGGAGGCAGGAGCTGAAGCAGAGACCATGTAGGACTGCTGCTTATTGACTTGCTCCTCTGGCCTGTGCTCAGCCTGCTTTTTTTTGGTACAACCCAGGACCACTTACTTGTCCAGGGGAAACATCACCCCCAGATGGCCCTGCCATATCACTCACAATCAAGAAAATACCTGACAGACATGACCAAGGCTGATCTGATAGAAGAAACCCCCCAAATGAGGTTCCCTTTCCCAGGCGTGTCAAGTTGACAGCTGAAGCTACATGGCAGGGAGTTTCACAGAGGAGATACTGAAGCCCAGTAAGTCCCATTTCATCCATTAATCCACGTATCTGGAATTCCATTTTATTCCATGTCTTCCTGTTATGTGTACTCCATTGCTCTCTAGGTCTCAGGAGGGCCAACTGAGTGAGTAAAAATATGGAGGCTTAGAGATAAGTAGATCTGAGCCCTCCTGGGATGGATGTAGTTCACAGCTACAGACGCTGAGCACAATAAGATCATCATTTCCATGCATCTGTGGCCACCCTGCTGCCATTCCAGACTGTGGGCAGTGCTGCTATCAGGGCCCTTGAGACTGAGCTGTTGGATGCTTTGGGCTTGTCTAGTTCCTGCTGTCCTGCCTGAAGGACAAGGTGGTCATTGCAGCAGTGCCCATGGCCTCTGAGTGGCCAAAGGCTTTGTAGCAATTGACAGCAGGTGAGGAAGAAGTGTGTGGACTCATGTCCCACACAGATGTTCCAGTGACTAGCAGTTTTGGATGTGATGCCCCACAAAGCACATTCAATAGCAGATTTCTTGATTTCCTGTTAACAGCAGAACCTAGAATTCCATATGTGATAGTGTAGTACTCAGAGGTAGCTGGAGGGGCCCATCACCCCTATTTCTATGTCTCTCTCTTCCAGATTCTAGAACTGCTGGAGAAGTTCCTACAAGGAATGAGAAGCTGGATGTTTTCACAAACACCTCATTTCTGAAAACAATGAGCAGTTTGTATATGGTAGCTGTGGCCAAGGCCAGACGCTGTAGTCAGAGAAGGGAAGCTTCTTCCCCAGGCCCTGTGGTCAGGACTAGGTCTTCATGAACAGCTTCTGAAGACTGAAGAACCAAGCCCCAGGTTGGGATGTATCTCGGGTATAAGCCCGTCTAGTACAAGAATATCTCTCCTGTGGGTCAGGGGCACATCGTGCAGGAGCACCGGAGAAGGAGCACTTCTCCACAGCTTGTTCTGCAGGAGAGCAGGGGTCACTCTCAAGACGACACAGAGAACAATGACCAGGGCACTGTCTATACTACTAAGTAGTGATCTGTGGGATGAGGCCAGCAAGCCTCATGATGCAGAGCCAAAGTAAGAAGCCCAGTAAAGGGCTGGGGGGAATGGAAGAGAGGTGGCTTCTAGGGAAGGGAGAGAAAGAGGTTTCTAAACTGTGACCTTCAGTAAGTCAGAACAGGTTTGGATGGGGCTAGCTCAATGTCCTGGGTGGGGGGCTTAAGGACACCTAGAGGGGCAGAGTGAGGGTAGGATACCCTGAGACAGGAAACTGGCGAAGTCTGCCCCTATGTTAAGACTTGCATATGCAGGAATTGCAAAGGCTGCAACCCTCCTATGGACCAAAACGGAGATCCCAAATTCTGCCTAGGAGTGAAGGGAGGTCAGTAAAGGGCACAGGGCCAGAGGAACTGGTGACCTGGCATCTGGATCTCTGAGTTCAAATCCTAGTTATAAACTGGCTGGCCATATGGCATGATCGAATTGCATCACTGCCTCATAGTTGTCATCGTCCTCCTCCTCCTCCTTCCTGGCCTAGAACTGACCACATAGGCAAGAGTGGCTGGCCAGTGAGTCCCAGAGACCCACCTGTCTCCTCTTCCCTAGTGCTGTGGACACAAGAGTGTGGCACCAGACCAGCTTTTTTGGTTGTTTTAGTGTGGAGGCTAGGGATTGAACTCAGGTCCTCATGTTTGCGAGGCAAACACTTTACTGCCTGCGCATCTCCCCAACCTTGTTTCTTCATCTTTCAAGAAGAGACAACAACTGGCTTGCAGGGCCATTGAGAAACTGGAAGCCATGATACTTGGATAGCCTGCTTTCTCCCATGGCAGGGTCCAGTGGCTATGTATGTCAGAGGCAGTTGCTCTGCACACCTGGACGATAGGGGGAGGAATCCAGCACTGTGTGTGAGCAGCCCGAGCCGAGCCTTGTCCTGCAGCATACAAATCCCCATGTGCCAACAGAGTAGGAGGAAGCTGAGCCTTTGAGCTCAAGCACTGAGCTCCAACCCCAGGGGAGAGTTCCTGTGAGGATGCAGGGACCATAGGAGGGACTGGCAGTGCATGCAGAGGAGAGGAAGTCGGCCAGTGTGTGGTCAGGACTAAAGGGCAGCCACCAAGAGAGGCCTGGACCCTGCCTCAAGGCAGCTGCTGCAGGGGAAGTGGCTTTTCTGTGGCTCTGAGAGGCCGGAGTGGGAGGAGGCTATTTTGGGGGGTAGTGGAGGTGGTGATATTAGGAAGGCTGGAATGAAAACAGAGAGGGCATCAATTATAAAATAAAAGATCTGAGGGGAGACACTTTCATGGGAAGAAAACACCAGGCACCTTGAGGACAGCTGTGCAGAGATGATGACTCATAAAAAAGAGACTGAGCAGCTTTTCTGAGGGAGGGAATGCTGACCTTTCAACATACCTGCAGCCTAGGCACAGGAAATCGGGCCCTCCAAGCCCCCTGTTCCACCTGGTTAAGGGTCTCAGAGTTGCATCTGGGATGAGATCACTGGGCAGACTTACAGGTACTTAATCTGTCCTCTGACAGGATCTTCCACAGAATGAGTCAGACCCGTAGTCTGGTTTGTCTCTGGTCAGTCCAGGGACTTGGGTGGCCCAGCTTCAGGCCTGGCTGTGACTGGAGATAAACAGGGGCTGAGGGGCTCAGTCAGAACTCATCTCATGAAGTCTTTGAAACAAAGTATGGTGGCTATGACTTTAGCTAGAACATGAATCACAGAGAGCAGAGAAGGGCCTTCCTCCAGGAAGATATAGGGTAACATGTGCCATACAGCAAAATAGGGCCTCTGGAGGGTATGTGGAGCTACCACATATGCAGGCTTCCCGCCTTCATTTCTTAGGGTTGCCGGTTCCAGGCTGATGCTACATTTGTTGTGTATGTCCTTGACATTGAATTCTTTATGGTGGGCACTGTAAACGGTGCTTGGCCTACTCAAGTGCTCACTGAATGCTGAATACATGTGGATGAACATTCCATTTTACCTGAGGATCAGGGACAGTCAAGCTGTGATGGTGTTAGTGAGTGATCACCTCAGGGGTCAAGTGAGTGGTGGTGGTCGGCAGGGAGGGCGGGGAGAGTGGACAAGGGATTCCAGATGTAGGAAACTGAAAGAAGAAGGTTCTCAGTGTAGGGCATTCACAAACAGGATGAGGAAGGCTAGATAGAACACAGCTCCTGAAGACAGGGGTGGCCAGTGCATTGGTCAAGAAGCTGGAGAGGCACAAGAAAAGGTAGTTCACCAGCCTGTCAGGAGGGACCAGGAGGCTGATTTCATGTGCTTTTTTGATATTGGATATACGGTTTTAAAATTTCCAAATAGAGTTGTGCATTCTGAGATAGGCATCATGAGACACATTGTGCAAATGTCATAGTATATAAGATGTATAACATGTTACAAGCCTAGGCTATATGGTACAGCCTATTGCTCCTAAGAGACAAATCAATACAGAATATCACTGTACTGAGTATGGCAGGCAATTGTAACATAATGGTAAGTATGTATGTATCTAAACACGTCCAAACGTAAAAATAATAGGCAGTAGGAAATTTCAGCTTCAGTCTGATGGTGTCACCATCACATACGTGGCATGTTGTTGACATAAACATCATTATGTGATGTGTAACTAGTTCAGAGGTGTCAGTTGATCAGTTTCTGTTCGAGCTTCCTATCAGCATTTTACAAAAGGTGTTGACTCATTTTTTCTTCTATATCTGCTCTAGATTTCTGCTGGGGGTGCCAGAGGACAACCTTGCATGCCATTCTTCAGGCACTGTCCACCTTTGTTTGAGCAACCCTGCAGCAATGGGTGGGAGTAGAAGATGGATGTCTGCAGAAACAGGGACATGGCCCACCCAGGCTGTCCATCTTGGATGGGGTCTAATGAGAGAGTAGTGGGAGGAGGAGACTGTGGAGCAGAGAAAGAGGAAGACTGGAGGGCAAAGGAGACTGGGGCAGGGAGAATGGGAGACCAAGAAGAAGAACTGGGGAGACCAAGGATCTCAGAGAAGGCGAGAGAAGGGGCAGCAGCAGGAGAATGCAGAGAAAATGAGGCAGAGCCAGGGATTGACAGGGTAGAAAGGCGGGCAGGTGGGGGAGGCTGAAAGATGAGAGGTAAAGATATTAGAGCAGAAAAGAAGGGAGAATTGTAGAGCAGAGGGAGCAAAGGGGGAAAGACAAAAGGCCGAATGCAGAGAACAGATGAGGAAGGGAGAAGGGACTGGATGGAAAGGTTGATGAAGACATATATTTATTCTCCATTAATGTGTTCTTCCTCTAGATTTTATTCTAGATCAATATATGTTCACTGAATGCATTTAAGAAACATGAAACCTCTAAGATGAATTTACATGTGCTTAGCATATTCAAGGATCATCTATTCAATATCACCTGGTATTCTTAGCATTTTTGTTTGTTTGATTTTGAAACCATGTCTCCTTGTAGCCCCAGCTGGCCTGAAACTTGCTATATAGATCAGGCTGGCCTCAAGCTCGCAGAAGTCTGCCTGTCTGTGCCTCCTGAGTTCTGGGAGTAAAGACGTGTGCCACCGTGCCTGGCTTTATTCTTGGCTGTTTAAAAGTACTGTTGAGTAGAGTAGCTAGAGTAGCCACCTAAGGTGTTCTCAGGGTCTTCGTATTTGTTAAAGTTGTCCCCTCCAGCTTAAGCTATAAAGTTAAATTAATTTCCCAACTCTGCTTCTCAGTGGACTAGCCTCTGGAACAGTGCCTTTCTACAACCCAGCTGGGCTCTACTCAGCAGACTCCAGGGAGCCACTGAAGGTCAGTCAGGATACTTAGCAGAATCCCACCTGCAAAGGCCCCAATTCCTCACCCGACCACTGTCCAGGACTCTGATGGGAATAACAAGGAGTAGTAATGCAATTTATTGAAAACAAAACAGTTTTGCTCATTATTCAATTGAAATGTACATCAGGGAGGGGTGTTTAACACCCACCATCTGGAAGGGACTCATTTGGTTGTGCGGACATTGCCTTTATGGTTTTTATTCTTCTTGTGGTTCAGGGCCACACAATGATACTTTTTCAAGTACAGAGGATACCTTATCTTCTCAACAAGTACTTCCTTTAAGGTTTCTTGTCTACCTTTAACCAAATGGGACAGCTTGTCTTTAAAGACATATTGGTCAAAAAATGAGGAAGTAGGTCTGGACTGTGCAATACAAAGTATGTAGTAACTTTGCATCAACAGGAACTTTCTCAAAAGCTTCTTTTTTCAGAGGACCTTGTTTTTGCATTTAGCTACAGGACACAGCTCCTCTGGACCTGCTGTTATCTCACCCCAGTGGGAAGGTGCATGCAAATCTCTCCTGAAATTTGCCTCCTGGATTCTTGCTGAGGTGTTTAAGAACAATATCATTTGAATGACTTTTGGACTGAGTGACAGAACAGAAAGAGGGAAATAATGAACAGAACTGTGCTCTCACCTTTCCTCCGACGATCTATGATGGCCACACCAATGTCCCTCCCTCTCCTCGGGACAGTGACACCTGGGGTGCCCTGTACTGTACAGTCTGAGCACACTGATGGCTTGTGGTTCCATAAATTTGTAGAGAAAAAGGCCCACTACAGTCCACTTATAAAAGGGAAGTAGTTTGTCCCCTGTCCTTCCCCTTAGATACCAGGAGTGTCCACAAAATAATGCAAATAATCCAAGGTGCTTCCGGGATGGTATAGTGTGTCTGCATTCCAAATGGATGACACATCTGTCTACTGTACCCCAATCATGTTCCAGTTCCATGACTGGGGAAACTAAGTAAGTGATGCCATTCTTACGCTCAACATCCAAGTCTTCTTGAAGGGAGCTGGTGTCAGATTAACAGCTTGCTAATCATGTCTAAGTTACCAGGTCAGGTTATAGAAAGGTGCCTGGGCTACAGAAATCAAGCCCAGTCAGAGTTTGGAATCCAGAAAAGGAGTTGACTATTATTTTCTTATTTAGGATGTACAGGCCAGAAATGAAGTGGAAGTGTATGAAATAGCCAAACGTGTTTATCACAAATAGTCAATTCTGAGCAATTTCAAATGGCTTGGCCCAATAGCAAACTAAATGGTAAGAAGGGAGCCCCAGTGAAGTCTGAACCTATTTTGTCCATTTTAGGATTTGGAGGTGGTGAATGGGAGCAGATCAGAATACCTGCAGTGGGCCTGGTTCTATAACAGAGCCACGGAACACTTTCTATATAGCATGTACTTTGTGGGCACTGAAAGCTGTCCATGCTCACAGAAAGCTGGGCACCTGTCCATGCTCACAGAAAGCTGGGCACTGGGACCCACAATCCAGCAGCCTCCGAAGCTGGAGGGTCATTCACACTGGGGCTGCAGGTTCAATAAATGCTGATTGCCTTGGCTCACCAAATTTCCAGGAAAGTGAAGGAAAATCTTTCTCCCTCTTCTTCCTCCAGAGTTTAATACTTACCTGGGTGGAACCCTTCCCTGGCATTCACTGCTGGGAGAGTTTCCTAAGTCTTCTCTGCCTGGGTTTGCAAGTTCCTTTCTAGAAATTCCACTGGGGCCTTTGCTAAGTATGCAAGATGTCTAGGCTGGGCAATAACTTCTAGCGTCACTCCCAACTACCAGGCAGGACTGGGCTCCTTTCAACTGGGAACTGAAAGCCACACTAGAGACCCAAGAATGATCAAGCCGAAATGGAACACAGGGCTCAGACCCCTGTCTATGCACAGCTCCTAGTTGTCTAAGGGGCTGCCTGCGCTTTACAGTACGGTAGGACTTTGGGACACAAGGGACTCGACACTGCGCAATCAAGGGGCCTCTCTCTCCCAGCCATCTGGTCCCATAGGTGAAACAGAGAAGAAACTTTGTGTCTTCTCCCATGCAAGAAGCTCCGGCCCTGTGCAGACCTGCAGACCACACGCTGGCAGTTTATTTCCCCTCCAGTGTTCCAGGGCGCACCCCTACCCTAGTCCCACTTGCGGGACTGCCACTGCAACAGGGTAACCAGACGTGCCCATGCTGGGTCCCCTGCCCCCGACGGTACTCAGACGCTCCCTTTCGCGGGTTTCCGCGTAGCCCCGTGGGGCTGCGGGTCCTCTCGGCCCTGCCTGGTGGTCTGCTCTTTGCCCCGACCCCTAGTCCCCCATCCCCGCGTCCCTGACCGCGCGTTCTCACCGCGCCACGCTCAAAGTCGTTGTAGAAGGCCTTGTCCAGCAGGTGCTTCTCGCTGCAGCCCGCGGAGCCCACCAGGCTGAGGTAGATGTAGTCATCGGTGCCCGCGAACCACTGGCTGCCGGTGGCCACGGTGACCGTGTAAGAGGGCATGGTGCCAGGCAGCGAGCGCCGCGGGCGTGGGCTCAGGAGCGCGCGAGACCTTAGGGCCGCAGTCCCCGAGCGCACGCACCTGTCAGCCGGCCACAACTCTTTTCCTCCCACTGTGGCCAGCAGCCGCCCGGCTTAACCTTTAGTCCCGGCCCGCCCAAGACTTGGCCCCGCCCTCTGGGTCAGGCTCAGGCCCCGCCCCTGGACCCAGTAGGGCTCCTGGCACTCCATCTTCCACCTCTTTCTACTCCCTAGTTGCGCTGTTGGGGTTGCGACCTCCTCCCTGGCAGGGCAGGGGTCCCTTATTCCTGTGCCCTGTCTCCGTCCCACGCGTGGTAGGTGCCCTGGCAGCCACAGACCCTAGGAACCTATCTGTTAGCCTTCATTCATTTGTGCATTTGTGTAGTCAATCTCGTATTACTTCCATCCCTCTGGCTCTTGCCAGCCTCAGCTTCCATTGGCTTCTTCCCAGGTTGGGCGGATCTGCTCTCTGGGCCAGGTACCCATAGGCACCACACTGGGGCGATGGTCTGTGGGCACTGAGAGGTGGCCAGAGAGAGGAGTGGCTAGGGTAGGAAGCCACCCATCTGTGCCAGTGGACTGTCTGGAGCGAGGATGGCTCTGCCTGTGGTGGGAAGGGCGGGAGGCTTGTTTAGGGAGTAGACCAAGGCTGAGAATCTTAGGGAGAGGCTTGGGCCCAAGAATTACCGGGAGTTTGAACCTTTTCCTGGGAATAGGCTGCTCTACCCGGTGGTAGGTGGGCTTTGTCTAAATCATGTTGGAGAGAAGCCTGGAACGGATCTGGTAAACGGTTTTGTGACTGTGGCATGATGTCAAAAATTTTGCCCCACTCGGTTCTCATCATCTCCTCTACTCCCCAACCCGGCCTTCAGCACTGGGTTCAATTATGGTACACAATCAGTAATACTTAGTGACCCTAACTAAATTGAACGAAAAACAACTGGGGTTCATTCTGTGAGAGACAGTGTTTATGTAAATGCCCTTCAGTTCAGTTCATCCCCTGGGGTCTGGTCAACCTCCCAAGAGTCTACCCTTAAAGGTGGCTGACTCTCCCTCTCAGCAATCAGTTGCCAGTAGTTACTCAGGTGGGTTTGGGGTTTCTTACCACTTCCCTGTGTCTGTGCTGGGATTTTTTTTTTTTTTTTTTTTTTTTTTTTGTTTTTTTGACTTGTGCATGCTGCCACTGTTGCTGTGAGTTCATATGAGTGACTGAATAGCTGTTGGATAAACTCTGTTTCCTTGAGGCCATCTACCACCTCTGTTTTTCACAGTCATTTGGCTCCTTTGAGTTTACTTGGGACTTGTGGATGCTCTCACCATTATTGTGAGTTCATATAAGCAACTGCCCAGCTGAAAAGATTCTGTTTCCTTGTGGCCATCCACTGCCTCTGGCTCCTATAGTCTTTTCTGTTCCTCTCTTCTCCAGTAATCCCTGAACCTTGGGAGGCAGCAGTTTGATAGAGGTTTCCTATTCAGAGATAAGCAGTTTGCAGTCCTTATTCTCTGCATATGTGTCAGTTGCAATTGTCTGTATTAATCACCATCTGCTTTAGAGTAAGTTTCTCTGACCCTGCTTTTGGTTACCCACCAGACTTCACAGGAACAGACACTACACACGTGAGCTGTAGAACAAAGGATAAATCAAGATGGTCCCAACTTCAAAGTTTCATCTCTACTGGCTAGCTTTCATAGTGCTGGAAGGTGCTATGCTAACTACCTGAAGAGAAAATTTATCATCAACCTTACCCGCAAGCTGCAGTACTGACTGGTCTGGCAAGACATGTCCACTGGTGCCATAGTGGCATGAATATTTTGGGACTAATCAATCACTTTCTAATTGGATTTGAGGTCTGCTTCATAGGATGCAACCCATACCCAACATTGATATCAGTCCTAGGAACCTGAGGCTAGGTATCTCAGAGGCCAGGGGAGAAAGCCTAATACTATTACTCTGCTAAATAGATACATTATTAAACTGACTCCTGATAACTTGTTGTTATGTTCACAGATTGATGTATGTCTCAACTCTCAGCAAATAGGATAATTTGACTTCTTCATTTTCAGTTGGTATGTATCCTCTTTAATGCCTTCACTTGTCTAATTGCTCTAGCTAAAGCTTCAAACAGGAATGGAGAGAATAGACACCCTGTCTTGTACTTTATTCTGGTGGAAATGGTCATATATTTGGTTTGCTAGTATTTATTGGAATTTTTATGTTTATGTTCATGAGAGAAATTAGCCTGTTTCCATTTGTTTTGATCCTTGTCTGATTTTGATATCAGTGTACTAGCTTCATAAAAGGAATTTGGAAGTCTTCCTTTTATATTTGAATAAATATTTGGTCCTGGGCTTTTTTCAGTTGGGAGATTTTTAGTGATTGCCCCGGTGTTTGGTGCATATATACCTAGGAGTGTTACATTCTTTTGGTGATTTTTTCCTTTAATGAGTATGAAGTGCCTTTCCTAGTTCTTCTAATTTTTGTTTAAATTCTATTTTACCAGATATTAGAATAGCTATGCCTACTTGTTTGTTACTTCCATTTGTTTAGAACATCTTTTCATCCTTTTAGTATAAGATGGTGTCAATCTTTGATGGTAAGTTGTATTTATTGGAGGCAACAATAAGATGCATCCTGTTTTCTAATTCAATCAGTTAGTTTAGTTTGTATCTTTTCATTGGGTAATTTGAGACCTTTAACATTGAGACTTATTACTCATCAATGTTCATTAATTTCTGTAATTGTTTTATAGTGGTGTTTTCTTAATGCTCTTTTGGTTAACTGTTCTGGAATTGTTTATTATTTCTTGTGCCCTTTTGGGTGTTTAATCTTCTATTCAGACCAAAGTAATTCTTCTAGTATCCTTTATAGATTTGGCTTAGTGGACATAAATCCTTAAATCTGATTTTATTATGGTAAGTTTCTCTTTCTCCTTAGATTACAACTAATAGTTTTGGTGAATATATTAGCATCTATGCACTTTCATGACTTAAAGGACATTGGTTCAAGCCCTTCTGACTTCCATAGTCTCCATTGGAAAGTCAGCTCTTTTTCTCACAGGAATGCATTTATATGTGACTTGATCTTTCTTTTTCACAGCTTTCAATATATTTTCTTTCCTCTGTACATTTAGTGTTTTGACTATTATAAGATGTGGGGAATTTCTTTTCTGATCCTATTTGGTGTTCCAGATGCCTCTTACCCCTTCATAGGTATCTCTTTCATTAGATTTGGGAAATTTTCTTCTATGATTTAGTTAAAAATATTTTCTGTTCCTTAATCTGGGTTTCTTCTTCTATATCTATGAATTTTAGGCTTGGAATTTTTTTTTGATTTTTACAAAATGTTTATTCTATTAATCCACTGCATTCACAGGGTGTTAACACTTTAAATGTTTATCATTTCCATCAACTGTAGCACTAAGTAAACCAGAATAAACATTTTTATCATAGATATAGCTAAGGATCATTAATACTTTTTAAAAGGACCTAAGATTCCCCCAAATTTTAGTACAGGTAGTTTTATTGTATGCATCATCTAGTAGATAATGAAAGAAATGTGTAGAAATGAATAGTTTCCAACCAAGTAAATATACCAAGTTACCAACCCACCAAATTAAAAGCATCTGCCAAGCTGAATAAATTATAAAGGAAATAATTATTTTGGGTCACACAGAAATGTGCAGTGTTCT